TTTTGGCAATCTAGTGTATATACTTAATATCTAAAATATATAATATGGTGTATAGCTTCATATATCAAATGATTTCTTTTTAAAGATTTTTTTTTCTCCATGTTTTGTAGCCTTTTTTCTCCCCGGTCATGTCCCTGTGTCTGTCTGGTTTCTCCATGTCCTGTCTCTGCAGGTTCCTGGTTTCCCTGCCATGGCTAGTTAATGTCTCCAGTTCTGGTCCCTGAGTTTCTCTTCCTGTCAATAGTCTCTCTGTGTTTCATCCTTTTTTCTTCCCAGTCAGTCATGTCTCCCTGTCTTTCTCCAGCCCCTTTATCAAGTTCACGTGTTTTAGTCTGGGTCTCAGTGTGTGTTACTTCCTGTTTTATTTTGATAGCCTTGCTTTCACTTATACAGTACCAATTTAATTTCAGTAGTCCCCTCTAGGCAACATATATTATAAGGACATGTTTCAACATCACAACCACATCTAAAGAACAGCAGGACTTACTCGCCTCACCTATGATCAGTGTTCATGATTCAGTAACAAGAAATGGGGAAAAAAGGTAGATTTCCAAGGTGAAAACCATTACTGACAAAAAAGAGCACAAAGGCTCATCTCATTTGCCAAGAAACATCTTGATGACCCTAAAAACTTAGGAGGAACATGTTCTATGGACTAAAAAGACAGATGTTTTACTTTTTGTAAGGTTTGCATCCTGTTACATCTCACATAAAACTAAAACAGCAAGTCATATAAGGGTATCAGCAAACGTGGTGGTGGTAGTGTGATGTACCGGGGCTGCTTCGATGCTTCAGGATCCAGACAACCTGTTATCAGTAATGGAGCCATGAATTCTACTCTATACCAAAAAATCCTGAAGGAGAACGTCTGATTGTCCGTTTGTGGATGTTAGTTAAAGTCTGGACTTGCATGTTCCCAAGAGTGGGACAAAATTAATACAATCAACCAAGTTTTAGGTAGGTACTTAGGTAATGGTAGTTATTTTCCATTAATAAATGAAAACACAATTTAGAAACTGTTTTACATTGACTCCAGTTATCCTTGTCTAATATTGATCTAAAACATGGAACTTTAGCAGACACGATAAAAAGAAATCAAGAAGGTGTCAAATGCTTTTTCACAACACTTTTCTTAAAAAAAATTTTGAGAAAATTGGACAAGTAGAGCAGAAAAGAAGAAATATTGGGCTTAAAAAACTATATACAGCAGACGAGCCGTATCTGAAAGTTACGTCCTTCAGAAAAATCCAGCAAAAAACTGTCTTATGATCCTTCAGTTGATCCTTCTGCAGCCTCATAAGAAATGGGCTCTGCAGACACGGTACCTTAACATTACTGAAGCACTGCGGGATGATCTTGACAGAGGACAGAACAAACCAAAGCCAATATCCAATAAATAGTGTTGAAATGATCTTCCTATTCTGTTCATGAAAACTCATTTCACATATTGACTTTCACACTTGTTACCACCAACTCAGAGTTTGCTATATTATGCATGCCTGTATTTTCATGCATATTTGCACATTTCAATGATTTGTGCACCCATTTCCCATCTGCCTGGCAAAATATAGAATATACATGAAGATTTTCCACTGTACTGTATTTTAGAGAAGCTAATTGGGATTACTCAATAATCTTTGAGTAATTATAGTAGTTATAATCAGCTACTCACAGCTCCAGGATAAGCACCACATCAGTGCGGTTCTCATAGACGTCGTGCAGCATGACGATGTTGGGGTGCTGAATCTGCTGGAGGATGTTTACCTCTCGCTCTATTTCGTCTCGCCGGACTCCACGAGAGCTGGCCATGCTCTGCCGCTTTTTGATAAACTTAGCAGCAAATTCCAAACCTGTAGTTTTCTCTCGACATTGCTTCACAATGGCAAACTGCCCACTCAAACACAGAGAGGAAATCACACAATCAAATGAAGATCATTGAAAAAATCACTTCCTAACTACCACACAGAACCATGAACATATCTGCAGGTTAGATGGAAACAAGGCTGCAGTCCTATTGACTGCACATAACTGTCATAAATATTTGGCAAAGTCTGGCGCACTGCAAAGTTTAAGCAAACTACAACATTTGTAGGTTGTTTTATTGACTGTGGAAAATTAGAGTTATTTTAAAATAGACCAATGAGTAATTTAGTTATTAGTTTGACTGTTTGACACTTTACTAACTAGAATGCACCCCACAAATTTCCTTATCTATATTGAAAATGACAACACAAACAACAACAACAACAAACTGCACAGTTACACCACAGGTCATGTACAGTATTTAACATTCAAATTCACTTATATGACCATGCAGATGCATCTATTTTTTCCTGGTTCACTTCAATGGTTTGTAAGCTGACACTCCACTTCCTGCAGCCAGGCTAAGAGCAAATATAACCTCTGCTAAATATAAACAAGTCCTTTAAAAAGCAGTTTGATGTGCATGACATTTGTCTCTCTCACACAACACACAGCAACAAAAGCAAAGCCAAACATGCAACTTTGTTTCTCACTTCTCTCAGAAATAGAGCGGATCGCTTTTAGAAACCACCTGATATTTAGAGAGTGTGTGTCAGCAATCATCAGCTAAAAAGGAAGCTGTGTGCAGCCAAAGACAAATAAAAGACTTTTCACTGGTGCAGTTAATGACCCAGTGTCATTTCCATACCGTTAGAGCTCAGAAATAACTCTGTGGAAGAGTAAATGTAAGTCAAGTTTGAAAAAGATCCCAGTGTATTTTGTGTAGGTGTCTACTCTGCAAACATGCCTTATATTTCCTACACCAGGATTACCAGTGATGAGCAGTTAAATGAACACAGGAATACACGTTGAAGTAGTTGGTGTTCTGGTTGGTGGTTGAGTTTGTAGTTAATATGCTGTTGTTCTCAATCCATCCGTCTCACTATCTGCATTCTGATTTACATTAAACTAGCCGCTGTTACTCATTAAACTACATTTAAAGCAGATGCAAGAGCCGTGCGCGTCTGTACCTGCCAAGCTCTTCACCAATTTCATAGAAATCTTCCACTTTCTGTTGCTTGAATAGATCCATTACTGCCGCAGTCCCCAGTTTGATGTTATTTCTGTCTGTCCTGAAATGATAATTAAATAACACGTAAAAAGTGCTTTACTTAAACAACATGGCCCAATTTTAAAAAACCATCTACAAATAATAAAGGGAAAAGATTTTGAAGTAAGCCTGTCCCCGAAAATAACCAGTTTCCGATGTCATCTGGAAAAACAGATCACAGGAACTGCAGCGTGTCGTGCCAGACAGACGCTACACAACGATAATGTGTAGAAAATGTGTCCGCGTTTTTAAAACATACGTAACTCTGTGCTCGTGGACTTCCTCCTCGTCATGCCCTGTCCCCGTGTCCGTGTCCCCGTGTCGTCCGTGTCCCCGTGTCTGTGGCTGCAGCGCTCTGCACAGATCACGAAGTCGGGCAGAAAAGTCTCACAAAATTCGTATAGTTGGAAACAAATGTCGTCGTTATATATCGATAAAACGTGTATTCAGAGAAACAGTTACAGGATCTGAACGATGTGTTTGTGTTTGGTAAGATTAACATGATTAAAATGGTGACGCAGTAAAAACGGAGACGCTAACGTCGAATTTGTTGAATCACACATGTGACATATGAAAACAAATACACAGTGGTCCTGTTTCACGTTTATGAGTGGACTGTTTTAGCAACACTTCAAGTGTTACTCAAGACACTTCTCTATAACGCGTGTAATCTTCCTCCTTACAATGAAATGCAGGTAATAATAGAACAAGAGGTATCAAGCAGTTTCAAAGGAAAGGAGAAAAATATGTGTAAATATTATGTGAAGGCACAAAGCAAACTGTAGTTATGGTTACTGTAGATGGTGTAGTTAAAGTAAGAACTGTTCATTAAGCTGTAGCTACATCCTTACCTTCAACATTCACCACGTCACCTATAACCTGCTGGGGCCAGGGTGACATGTGGTGGGTTGGTAGACTGGTAATAAATAATAAATGTTAGGAAATTACAGCATCAGTTGTGGGATATAATTGTTCTACCCAGATTTTGAATTCTCTCTTCCTGCAGTTTCAGTACTTGCTATTTTTAATCTCATATTTCTGTTCTGTTTTCAATAAGCAGTAGCGTATATAGATTTTACAAAGTAAAAGTCTGTTACAGGTAAAGAGAACAGAGGTAAGCAGGAGGCGTTGGGTAGGTATGTTGTTTTCTTTTCCTGTTTTATTTAGTAATCCCTGTTATCAGTGTTACTTTTTGTTTTTATTAGTCTTTCACTCTTCAGTCTGCTCAGTCAATTAGAGTCTAACTCTAGTTATTAAGCTCCCCCTTGCAAAAATGCTTGTGAAATCTTAATAGTCAGGCTCTCCAGTTGGTCTTGTATTCCTATGTCCAGTAAGATCCTCTTGTATGGTTTTTTTTTGACCGATTCTCTTATTTTCCCCCTTTGCTGCATTTGCTTTTCGCTAATAGTCTTTAAAGTTTTATTATTGTTGACCATAGCACATGAACAATGTAACTTTGGACTTCTATCCTTTGCATGCAGTGCACATAATGTGCTTTAAGTTGTGACATTAGTAGTTTTATATGGGCTCAGTGGGAGAGAGTGAGACTGGGTGTGCTTAGAAACATGAAAAGGAACATGGGGGGGGAAGGTCATCTAAAGCTATATGTGTTTTTGTATAGATCTGTTAATCCAAGGTACAAACCAAATGAAATATTTACTTTGGGCCAAGCTGTTAAAGTTCAATCTGGAACAAGGAACACAGATAGTAAAATGAAAGTGCCTGTGCAATGTGAGGCAGAAAAGCTGGTGGCAGATGAACTAGATAAACTGCAACAATACCCCGATTCAGATGAGAGACAGAAGTAGTCAAATGAGGCACCTCTGCTTCCTTTAGAAGTATTACGTCAGAGCAGAGAGTATGCACACTGTATCACCTGTGCTCTGTCAGCAGCTCACATATGGATGTGGATGGAGAAGAGGTCGGGTGTTGAGCTGAATATGGAACCACAGGAAGGAGGGGGCCTGAAGGAGCTGGTGCTTCGATGGTTTACTGAGACACAGGCGCCGCTCGTCCAGCACAATGGAAACTTCCCTGATTGGTTTCAAGGCCTTGCTACAAGAAAGTAAGCAGCATACAAAAGACCTTTGCTTCAGGACACGTAGAGACTAGTGACGAGAAGATACCCAGAAAGCTGATTCTGTTCACCTGGACGTAGTGAAGAAGCCACTTTGATGACTGACCAAACATTTCTCCCACTGAGAACGCGACGTCCAGATAAACAGAATCAACTTTCTAGATGACTGAGCACATGAAAAAAATTAGGCTTTTTTATAGGAAGTTCAAGAATTTCTGCTTCACTGGGGCTTCATCACTTACTTGTGATTTCATTTGAACACTGTAAATACTGTAAATATCTCCCATCACTATTATGGTTTTACTGTCCGTGTTTGTGGGTAGCTACTGAGGAAATGCAGAGTTTGAATATCATTTTCATTCCATGCTACCTCATGCCTCACGTTAGGACTGCTGACTTGGTGTTAGACGAGGGAAGAACATATAGGTGAACGTATTATGTATTTGTCCGTTTCTAATTACTTTTCACTGACTGGGATAAAATAGAGATGCAGATAGTGTTGCAGCAGTAGGACATGCACTTAGAGCTTTTTTTTCTTATACTTAAACATGTTTTGCTGAAAGCACCCACAAACTTTTACCTCAATGACTTTTTCAAAGCAAAAGTTTAGCTACATCTGTTTGGGAGAACAGGAGTTGTATTCAGAAAATAAAAAGCAGCCAATATTCTGTTCCATATTAATTAATATCACAGCCAAAAACGAGGTAAAATATGAATTGTCTTTGCTCGCATCATACTATTCAGATTAAAGCTCCTTCTTAAAGACTGGCATTCGACATAAAAACGAGTCGAGAGCTAGTTGTAAGTTATAGCGCATTAGCTACAAGTCTGTTGACATTAATGACCAGAAGGCTCTTAATGAACGGCCGTGGCTGTGCTGAACAGAAGACGGCTGTCCCCGCTTCCAAGGAATTTTGCTTAGAGCGTTAAAAATGTTACCTCTGGATTCGGCATCAATAGAGCTCTGTTTTCTGAGTGATGTAAGAGTGAAATGAATAGTTTCATGGCGTGTTTCAAATCCAGTTTGACTGCCGGTTTGTTCAATTGGATCGGTTTTGTTTTCCGCTGCAGGGAAGCAGAGGATCTCCTGAGGGATAAAAGTATGGGCTGTTTTCTCATTCGTCTCAGTGATAAAGCCTTCGGCTACATCCTGTCCTACAAGTAAGGCAAAGCATGTCAACTGGACCTTGTTGAACTGTTTCAGTATTCTTCCTCATTCCTCTCTCTGCCTTCTCCCAAGGGGTAATGACAGGTGCCGCCATTTTGTTATCACCCAAAATCAAGACGGACATTTTATCATATCAGGAGACTCTCAGACATACGGCAGTCTCACCGAGCTGATCCAACACTACAAGCTCAGCGCCATCCAGCCCTTTGGAGAATATCTGACCTCCAGCTGTAATGAGGTGAGGCTGTCAGGGTTTATAGAAGTGGAACCCAAGCACAAGACACAGAAGGCAGATTGAATGAACCAAACAGCCATTTGATTAGGCTGGTGCAGAACAAAGAAGCCCCAAAGCAGTCGTCCCAGAATTAGGAAAACACTGGGAAGTGTGAACTATATGACACAGGAAATAACCCAAGAGATTACACTGCCACACAATGAACTGAGAGGCCCAGTAAAAAGATGCATGTAACCTGAACCACAAACCTCCCCAAAGTAATATGGAGCTTGACATTAATGGGTACTTCACTGTGACCTCAGACAGCCTCTGATAGATGTAAACCAGGGGTAAAATGGCCTGTATTTATAGCGCTTTACTAATCCCTAAGGACCCAAAGCACTTTACACATCCACACATTCACACACTGGTAATGGCAGCTACGGTGTAGCCACAGCCACCCTGGGGCGCACTGACAGAGGCGAGGCTGCCGGACACTGGCGCCACCGGGCCCTCTGACCACCACCAGTAGGCAACAGGTGAAGTGTCTTGCCCAAGGACACAGCGACCGAGACGAAACTGTCCTTCCGATTACAAGGCGAACTCCCAACTCTTGAGCCACGATCGCCCCACAACCAAGAAGGTGCACAACCGATTTCCTCACGGGGCCACATGAGAAACTGGGATTGTTGCCTTTTTGTCTTCTCTTTTTCTCATCTTAAAAAGAGGTTACAATTATGCATAATAAAAACACGAATTCTTTTAAGTTCTTGCTTTCCTGTTCTGTGAGAAAAAAGGAGTGTATAAAATCAGGTTCAGTGTCTGAGGCAGAAATGCAAATCTCCAGCAAATGCGAGATCTGCCTTCCGTTCTGCGTCTGAGAGCAGATCTGAAATATCTGGAATGTCTTTGCTTTTCTGCTCAACAATGAAATTCTCCTCTCTGTTCCTGTACTGTGTTTAGCTCACTGCCAGGCTGAAGAAAACTTAACCCTGAACTGTGTTTATTTCAGCAGCTTAGCTTCATACTATCACAGACCAGCATACATGTCAACAACAAAAGAAAAGTATATTAAAAATTCTTAGCAAAAGAAAATTAGCAAGTCCTCTATATACAAAACCCCCCAAATGCTTAAACACATGTAGCAGACATATTTAACCTCGCTGCCATGTTAGATGAAGCTCAACTCCTTGTTTACTTTCCCTGTTTCTCCGTGTTTCATTTCTCTCTCTCAGTAACCTCTAGCTTCCTTTGCTGTTTTAGACTTTTTTTATTACCTTTCTGTAATTACGAGTGTAAAGCTCCAGTCAAAGTAAGACATTTGTTATTACAGGAGAGAAGGGAGCCGGAGATCGACAGACGGATTGGGGCTGCAGCTGCAGTAATGCAGACGCTGCACCGGTCCGTCGTGGTGAAGAGGGAGCTGAGTGTAAAAGCGAAGCTCTCAATTTACCGGTCGATCTACGTCCCTACCCTCACCTATGGCCACGAGCTGTGGGTAGTGACCGAAAGAACGAGATCGCGGATACAAGCGGCAGAAATGAGCTTCCTCCGAAGGGTGGCTGGCCTCTCCCTTAGAGATAGGGTGAGAAGTTCGGCCATCCGGGAGGGGCTCAGAGTAGAGCAGCTGCTGCTCCACATCGAAAGGAGCCAGCTGAGGTGGTTCGGGCATCTGACAAGGATGCCCCCTGGGCGCCTCCTGGGTGAGGTGTTCCAGGCATGTCCCACCGGGAGGAGGCCCCGGGGCAGACCCAGGACACGCTGGGGAGATTATATCTCTCGGCTGGCCCGGGAACGCCTTGGTGTTCCCCCAGATAAGCTGGAGGAGGTGGCTGGGGAGAGGGAGGTCTGGGCTTCTCTGCTTAGGCTGCTGCCCCCGCGACCCGACCCCGGAGTAAGCGGAAGAAGATGGATGGATGTTATTACAGGAAGGCTCAAAACATTTATAATAAGAAATAACTGCATTTCAAAATTTACAAACCTTTACAGCACACTGCATTGGAGGCAATTTACACTCCCGACTATTTCATTTGATGCTGTACATGCATTGTAACTTGAAACAGTTTTTTACAGAACACTGTATCATCACTGTTAGTGAGCGCTCCAAGCAGTTTGCTGTTTATGATTACCGTGGGTTCGTACAATAGCAAAGTTACATTGGTTTCCTATGAGGAACGTCAGCTGCTTTCATTTCATTCTGGCACATATAAAACTGATTCCTTGGTCACACTTAATTTGTTGACTGAGCGCCATAGTGCAAAAAAGCAATGCAAACCACTGACGAGAGCATTGGTTGACAGATTCCATAACAGTTCAACATAAACAGCACAAGAGCTAAAGCATGTAAACAGCAGGGCGTATTTCTTGTGTTCCTCGCATCCCTGTTTGGTCTTGAATGGGCCGACCAGTCTACGCCACAAAAACTCAAAGGTGGCACCACAGTAAGTGGCGGGTGGGAAGGATTCCATTCGCTCTGTGGGGAGGTTGCTCATTCTTTTATCTTCCATAGGTTTACTTGGTCTCCAACAGACCACACACTGACAGGTGTGGGATGAAACCAACTGACTTAATCTTCATGAGCCAGTAGATGGTATATCACTGGAGGGGACATAAAACCATATAAAACCACTGCGTGCTATTTACAACCAATGTGGGAAAACGGTGTACTTCATTATCTATGTATAATGAAGCTCGGCACAGCTTTAGAGCTTGTCCAGAAGAGTGCTTCCACATTGCTGTAACACAGCTCTTACCTGAGCATGTTACTCACTGAGACTGAGACAGCTGCTGCTGCTGCTATAAGGCGTATATGATTTACTCATGAAAGTGGCCACTTTCATATATCATTTTAGTAAGAATCCAAAACATACAAGTTTCTTTTATATACTTTTTCTAGGGATATTATATCTGTTTTCACTCTTGTATGCTTTTCATACAAGTTTCACTCACAGATAAAAACTCTATAAGATTTATATGTATCTTTTCCATAAGGGTGATGGTGCTTGCATCTAAAAAAGGATGCAGTCCCTTTTTCATCCTTCAAAGCTTTCAACATCTGCCTATCCTTCTGTCTCTAGACTGGCAAAGTCCTCTCTCCATTGCTCCCACCATAGTTTCAGATGTTCAGGCAATGGGTCATCCCATCCTGTGCTTTGACATCTCTTGCAGGATTCTTTTTCTACTGAGAAGATGGGTAGTAGTACATCCCAGTGGGTTGTATGTGGATGCAATAGTGGACAATATTCCACACTGTATTACAGGTAGTCGAGGGATCTCTTATATACCAAGATGATGGGAGAAGGTCTTCACCATGTCTGTCTTGAAGGAAGATGATAAACCAACAACTGTGTTCTGCCCTAAATGTTTGAACAGTGTAACCCTCATCGTCTTTGCAAAGTATCACTCGTCTGGGTGCTAGTGCTCTGGGGCAGTTGCAGCCAATCAGGAGACCTGTTTCACTATTGAGGGGTTAATCTATGGTTGGTGATAGGCAGGAGGGAGGTGGGTGTGTGCTGCAGAGGTGTAACCCGTCACATGGAGACCAGATACTGTTTTACTGTGCTTTCTCACAGAAGTGTCACAGTGTTGACATCCTTCACACCTGACCTTGCTTTTACCTCCTAGGACCTGGCATCCACATACAGTGGGGCAAAAAAGTATTTAGTCAGCCACCGATTGTGCAAGTTCCCCCACTTAAAATGATGACAGAGGTCAGTAATTTGCACCAGAGGTACACTTCAACTGTGAGAGACAGAATGTGAAAAAAAAATCCATGAATCCACATGGTAGGATTTGTAAAGAATTTATTCATAAATCAGGGTGGAAAATAAGTATTTGGTCACCTCAAACAAGGAAAATCTCTGGCTCTCACAGACCTGTAACGTCTTCTGTAAGAAGCTTTTCTGTCCCCCACTCGTTACCTGTATGAATGGCACCTGTTTGAACTCATCATCTGTATAAAAGACACCTGTCCACAGCCTCAAACAGTCAGACTCCAAACTCCGCCATGGCCAAGACCAAAGAGCTTTGGAAGGACACCAGGAAAAGTATTGTAGACCTGCACCAGACTGGGAAGAGTGAATCTACAATAGGCAAGCAGCTTGGTGTGAAAAAAATCAACTGTGGGAGCAATCATCAGAAAATGGAAGACATACAAGACCACTGATAATCTCCCTCGATCTGGGGCTCCACGCAAGATCTCATCCCGTGGGGTCAAAATGATCATGAGAACGGTGAGCAAAGATCCCAGAACCACACGGGGGGACCTGGTGAATGACCTGCAGAGAGCTGGGACCAAAGTAACAAAGGTCACCATCAGTAACACACTACAACGGCAGGGAATCAAATCCCGCAGTGCCAGACGTGTTCCGCTGCTGAAGCCAGTGCATGTCCAGGCCCGTCTGAAGTTTGCCAGAGAGCACATGGATGATACAGCAGAGGATTGGGAGAATGTCATGTGGTCAGATGAAACCAAAGTAGAACTTTTTGGTATAAACTCAACTCGTTGTGTTTGGAGGAAGAAGAATACTGAGTTGCATCCCAAGAACACCATACCTACTGTGAAGCATGGGGGTGGAAACATCATGCTATGGGGCTGTTTTTCTGCCAAGGGGACAGGACGACTGATCCGTGTTAAGGACAGAATGAATGGGGCCATGTATCGTCAGATTTTGAGCCAAAACCTCCTTCCATCAGTGAGAACTTTGAAGATGAAACGAGGCTGGGTCTTCCAACATGACAATGATCCAAAACACACCGCCCGGGCAACAAAGGAGTGGCTCCGTAAGAAGCATTTGAAAGTCCTGGAGTGGCCTAGCCAGTCTCCAGACCTCAACCCCATAGAAAATCTGTGGCGGGAGTTGAAAGTCCGTGTTGCTCGGCGACAGCCCCAAAACATCACTGCTCTCGAGAAGATCTGCATGGAGGAATGGGCCAAAATACCAGCTACTGTGTGTGCAAACCTGGTAAAGACCTATAGTAAACGTTTGACCTCTGTTATTGCCAACAAAGGTTATGTTACAAAGTATTGAGTTGTATTTTTGTTATTGACCAAATACTTATTTTCCACCCTGATTTACGAATAAATTCTTTACAAATCCTACCATGTGGATTCATGGATTTGTTTTTCACATTCTGTCTCTCACAGTTGAAGTGTACCTCTGGTGCAAATTACTGACCTCTGTCATCATTTTAGGTGGGGGAACTTGCACAATCGGTGGCTGACTAAATACTTTTTTGCCCCACTGTATGTGGACATCACATTTTAGGATGTCTGGATGAAAATATCCACCACTTATATTATACACTGTATATCGAAATTTAAAATGAATGTCCTCATATGTGGATTTTTTCTCAGAAACGAAAATCAGGTAGTAAAAAAAATAAAAAAATTAAAAAATAAAAATCAGGTAATTCTTTGTTTTTACATTCATCAGGTCCCAATCAGCCCAAATAGCAAAGAGAAATTAAAAATGCATGCTGTGGAAGAGTTCAGGTCTTAGGAGGTCAAAAAGCCATAGCACAGGTCATTAGCCGTCAAATACGTCCTTCTGTCTTCTAGAGACCTTTTTATGAGGTTTGTGCAGTTGTGAAGCTGATGTGAGTTTGGTGTTCCCCATGTGATCTGGTTGATGTCTTGTCACAGTGTACATTTGTTTTGGTGCTTGGTCCTTTTAATGTCCTTTAGCTTCTCACTGTCGCTGCGTAACTTGGGCGAAGAGCAGAGTTGAAGGTAACTGGGTTCCAGATGATTTCCACAACAGGGATGACACTATGGCACTGAAACTGGGAAACTCTCCACTTCTATTAAAGCGTTTGTAACAGGCAGTTTCTGATTTTTCTCACTGTCATTCAATATTTCCAGGCCCTTTACATAAGGCATTGCTACCATTCATGGAGTCTGTAAAGTTCCTTTGGGATCTTTCGTCTGTACTTTTGACAGGTTTGATAGCTTCTCTCTAAATGCTCTTTGAAAAACAAATGCCTGACCGTATTGTTGATTATGTTTTTTCCAGAACATGCCTTGTAGACATTACAAGTGGGGCCACCAATGCATTTTTTAAATCAGCAGCAGAGATGCCCTATTGGTCTATCAGTGACATTAAGGAGGTTTTCTATTGGATTTGCTCACCACTGAACACTGTTGGTTCCGGTGTGGGTAGCCTGCTCAGCGTTATACTGTCCTAAACACTTTGTGCTAGTAGAGCAACAGCAGGAGATGGAGATCCCATGGATCTGTCACATGGGTGTGCTGCGCTCTTAGCAGACTGGATACGACCAACCTGTAGTCTTTCTCCATTATAAGCTTCTTTCTTATGCTCTTCTTCCAGAGTGATATCTGCACTAATATCTCCATCAGCACCTGTTAGCCTTTTATATGTGATTTTGAAAAAACAGTTACTGGCTTACATGCATCAGTGCTTTTGTCTCAAATCCACGTGACTTCTTATGTCAGCATAGTTTCATAATGTCAGTGTCATCCTTTCCTTTTATTTTTCTCTAAATTGTCTGCAAGTGATGACGAGCATGTTTCGGTTCTGTCTGACTTCAGCTTTTCTCTTGGTGATAAGGTAATACGTCTATTTTTTATTTGTTTTTTAAAACGTCTCCCTTGATGTTAGTAAGAATTTTTTCTGTTGACATTCTGTTGTGTTCAGAGCAGCAAGATTCATCTGTAGTGCTTTGGATGTTAGACTGCAGATATGTCAGCGTTTTTACTTATTATCAGTTGTTCGCTTTATACCCTCCTTCTTTGTTCACTTGCATTTTGAAGCAAGCTTTGTTCATTAATGTCCTCAGGACTCACTGGTGAAGCTTGTATATTGTCCATTTTCTGTGCAGCCTCCTCTAGTCTTTTGTCACTTCAGTTTTTAGAGCACGTGCTGCCACCTGCAGGCCGTCATGAATGTACACTTTGACATTTTGAGACACTTTCACAGCAGCTTCTAGCCAAAGAACACTTAAGCCTAAGCTGACGGATTTTGTTGTGTATAGCAGTTTAACTCACGACTGTCACAGAACAAGAGCTGAAGAAACTTTAATCAATAAAAGAAAAATCCATTCAAAACTATTAGCAAGATAAAAATTGCCATTTTTTCATGAAACTAAACTAGGTGTTTGCTGTCTGTGATTCAGTTAATGCCCTGAAGTATTTGGCCATTTTAGTTACATCTTCAACACCACTGTTAATTGTTAGCATTAACAAAAACTACCGAGTGCTTCTCAGTTTATTTTGTTGACTGGACAGGAACACATTCCCAAATGCTTCTTTTTTCTGAGACCATATTAGTGCAACAGAGTCTTCCAAACACTGTTTGATAAACAGAAGGGCCTGCTGTTTTTATTTCACCAAGTTTATGAGAAATCATAACGCTGGTCAGATGGCTCCATCCCTGGGTATGCAAAGCTTGGTTCAAAAGTTCTTGTTGCTAGCAAAGGTCCAGATGTTCATTCCCACTGCATCAGTCAAGTTCTTGCAATCTTTTGCATGTTTAGTTCCATAATAGCAAATTCATTCTTAAACCTTAATCTTGTCCAATGTCTAATCCTTAAATGCAGCAGTCTGGTCTCCACAAGCTAATCATACCTTAACATGTGACTGAATTTGATGTCATGTCATCAGATGATCTGTCTGGTTTTGCTTGTTGAAGCTCTTATTAGACAATAATGTTGCTTGTGATTTTCAGGTGGACACAAATGAACTGTATGATGTGGTGAACTATAACACCAAACAGATGTCTGGGGTGAGCGTGCAGGCACTGCGGACTCTGTGGGATCAGAAAAGTGATCATCACAGCCATGTGGGTACTAATCAAAGGATTCAGCAGCAAAATGACCCTCCTGCAGTGCAGCCACCCATACCACCGAAATCCACAGCCAGAAGGCTGACGGGGACGGTGTCTGTGGATGCAATGTCTCTTTCCCAGGTAAGCTGGACACTTGAACTGTCCTTTTTGAAGAATACAGAATTATAAGTGCTGTAATTACATAACATGTAATTAAAAGTGTGCATCTCACCACATACAAAGCTTTATAGTCAAAATACTTCTTAGGGAATTACAATTTTATATTTAATTTTATTCAATAGCTCAAGAATCATGTAGGAGAAAATTTGTGTAAAACACTGCACGTGCATACTTATGTGCAAATTATGCTAATGTGTGCAGGTATGCAACACAGTTTCACAATAATTAAATGTTTGCTTTCAGTGGCAGCATCCAACAGCAAAATCAGTTTAATCCAACTTCACAGTTAAAGCTCATTTTGTGCATCAACACAACAAAGATTGCAAAGTAACATAATATGAGAGCTATATTTCATATGTATATGATAAGAACTGCATTACAAACATGGACCAAAAATACAGTAATTCTTAACATTTGTGAAACCTGCATAAATATGACCTAAAATGTGACATGACCTGTAATACAGACAAATAAAGCACTGATCCAAAAAAAAAGAAAATGATCCAGTGTTACATTTCTGTAAGAGAAAAATGTGAACTTTTCAGTATCGGGTGTGATGCTTTTGAGCAGCAAGAACTGCAACTAAACAGTTACTGCGCTGTTTGTCTGGAGCTGAGAGCTGTTACACGTTTATGGCACGAACCACTCTCCTGATATTTTACTGTAGAATTTTCTGATAACGTTTAGAACTTATTAGTTTGTCAGTGATGGGAGCTATGCTTTCACCTTACAGTCTTGCCATCCAGTATGAGAGAGGCCTGTATTTAATTTACTCTTACTCTATTACATGCCTTGCTGTTGAAGAGATCTTTGTTGGGCCAGGGTAACAGTGGTCTTGAATTTTCTGTTTAGCCACTGTGTATTTGAAGTACACAGAATCTGGTTTGGTGTGCTTTAATTAACTTCAGCAAACAGGTACAAAGGTTTACTAATGTGTGGAAAATGTGTTTCCTTACTCGACTCCACACACGTACAAAAACCCCACAATTTTATATATGACACAGAACGGTGTTTTGCAGCTTCCTGCATATGTACAGCCTAATAAGAGCGCGCTTGAACAGCCTTTCATGGCCATAGAATTACTTGATGGAGACTTTCAGCAGGACAGTGCACCTGCATGTCACTTTTGCTAAAATCACAATTACATCAGAAAGTCCTGCCTGTTCTGAGGTGGGGTTTAAATCTACTCAGTTTTATTGAGAATAAAATCTCAGACTCTGTTTCAGTTTCACCCATAGATAATACTAGCTCTTTAGATGAATGTTAAATATGTTGTGTAATATCTACAGTTCCAGTTTGCTGTCCTGCCCTCTGGCAGATCCACTGTTAATTTTGGTGACAATTTTTTTTCGGATGAAAGCAAAATGATAAGTAAAATAAAAAATAATGCAGAAGGATAAAAATGATTAAATGAATTGACACATTTTTCAACGAGTGAAAATGAGATGAAAATATTCTGGAGAGATGAGAACAAATCATAAAGGAAGTTGAGTATAAACGTGACGCGAGTTTGGAAGTGATTCAATCAGAAGTAATCTCCTTGTTTGCTAAACTTTCACACACATTGATTTGCCTCAGGGAACAGTACAACCTTCCTATTTCCCATGCTCTGTAAAAACACAACAACATCTCAACACTTGAACGTTTAATGAACATTTGATTTCATGGAAAATAATTTGCTTTTGGAGCAACGTGGTCAAACTTGGACACTTAATATTTTTGTTAACTGAATCAACTTTAGATTAAGTCAACTATAATCTTACGATATTTAGTTGATCTTGATGCCTAAATTTGACTAAAATTCATTGTTGTTCGTCTTTTCATTCAGAAGACTAAAAGTCAAAATTTTATGTGAAAATGACTCAACGTCCAGTCAGTTGTTCTTCTTTTCCATCGTGCCATGTCCTTGGTAAAAGTAGATCATGTGATTCTTGGGCTTGGGTCTTCATCTTGCAAATATAGAGCATCTTGAGGCAAATATTGTTATGAATTGGTGCTAAATACAATAAAATCTAATGAAATTTATTTAATTTAAAGAAATGCTAGTGAATTGTGTAACTGGACTACTTTGTCACTCATTTTTATTAAGGGTATGCCTCCAGGACCAAAAAGAGGGATTCCTCTAGGATTTACCCTGAGTGGTTCCTTGCCTGATACAACTTCACATCCAATGAAATCCCAGATGGACGCATACAGAGCAGATGGAATCATGGCAAACACAAATTCAGCAGTAATGTCTAACAAAGACTCGGTTGATGCAACTGACACAATGTACCCTGGTGATCTTTTTCCTGGCATCACAACCTCTCAGTCGACACAAGTAGAGAGCAGGAGCAAATCCCTACCACAACTGGACAACAACACCACAGAAGAGGAGTACTCCAACCAGCTCAGCAGCCTGTCTCTGACATCGCCTGTTCCAGGAAAGAGGGTTACCTGCCAAACCTATTCCCTCCACGCACCCCATGAAAGCGTGATCAGGTCAGAAGAGCACAATGATGACCAGGAAATATCAAGATCCAACCCTCTGTACCAGACCTCTGAGGGGTCTGAAAGCCGTTCAACCCAGCGAGGAGATGACATGTATGCTGAGGTTCCTCCGGTGACAACTCCTGCTAGGCTGCGAGATGACACCTACGAGCAGATCCCTGGTGAGGCAGCTGCTGTTCAAGGCAACACTTATGAGACGCTGGACGACATGAAGACCAAGAAGTCAAAGTCCACCTGGAGTAAAAGTGTAAGCCTGAAAGAATACTATGTATTCCAGTTCTTACTGTAAGCAGCAAAATATTAATATATGAACTTTTCTTATGTTCTGTTTGCAGAACATGAAGTGGAAGAAATTCCTACCTGACTACAAGAAGAAATAAATGCAGAATCTGTTGTGGAGAACCTCCTTAATATAAACGAGATGAACATTGCTCCTCCAGTTATTTGTTCTTATATGCAGATGACTGTGTGCTGTGAGTGACATAGGGATAGAGATAAAGTCAAGATAAGAGGCTTACACATAGGTAAGATTAAGAAAATCAAAGCTACAAAAAACCCTGAGCTGGACAGACGAGGGTTTTTTGGGACTGAACCCAATCACAAATGTTTTTAAATCAGAAAGGATTGGTTTTGTCTGAGGTTGGGTCCTTGGATATGAACAATGTCTAATCTGTAACACCTGCTGTTAAATACTTGGATTTTATTGTTGACAAGAATCTCAGCACTGCTGTCATGGATTTGAATGGGAAAAAGGTTTGAAATCATTACGTTAGGTCCTGATCTTAGCCCTGTTTTAACTCACATCATCAGATCCTTTGAATCAAACTCAGGGCTGTAACGCACAAAAACATCCATAAATATTCTTATTTACTCACAATTTATTACAATTACTTATTTTCAGCAGATTAGACCTGTGGTCTCCTTTGTCTCCGACCCTTATTGTGAAGCACTTTGTGGTTTTTATCCTGTGTAGAGTGCTCTTTAAATCAATAAAGTAAAGACCAACTGACAATGAGGCGGGTGGTTATGGGCTAACATTACAACAGCTAATATTAGGCTTCCGTGTCCTAAAAATCACTTTCCCTCTAAACAGGTTGAATATATTGTCACATCATGTCAGGATTAATTTTCCAGGTGTCTGAGTCAAACAATGTTAGATCAAAGTTTTATGAACGCCAGCTAACAAAACGGCAGCGCTTACTGACAGAAAGATTCAGGATATCCTGAGCAACTCAATTCAGTATTGTCATCAGATAGAAGTGAGCTCTACTGATTGATCCACCCATCCTGGACAGATTTCTCAGCTTTACAGCCTTCTCCAGAGTAAATAGACATATTGACATAGTAAACTTGGCTATCTGAGTTGAAATAACAAATATGTGAAAACAGTATGCCACTTCCTAACCAATGAACAGACAACATTTTTCAAAAGGGTATCCACTCCAAGAAAGGAGGCGAGATGCTGAAACAAACTGATACGTACTCGGCCCTGGATCATTAAGGGCAACTGTGCTGCAGTACGACACGAGACAACCATACCTAAGTACACCCAGTACTTTGAAGAGCTTAGAAATGCTCCTGTTGTTATTTTTCTACGTGTCCTTTGGCATCAGTGTCTTGTCTTGTGGTTTTAGGTAAAGTAAACTGACAAACACCAGGGTAAAAAGTGAAGCCAGTGCAAAATCAACAAAACTCCAAATCCTACAGGGGGTGATTTTAAAAAGAAGTTAGTTAGTCAGTAAAAAATAAATAATAAAGTGTGCTAACACTTTATTATTTATAACTAGCTATAGTCACTAGCTATCTGTAGGTCTCAATTCTTTAATTATCTTTAATTATTGTTTTTTATGTAAATGGTTTACAGACACCATGATACTGAAAAATGCAGCCGTACACTCTGTCTTACATCCACTTGTTGGAATCACTGTACTGATCTCATTTATGAGATGACCATGCTGTTTGTGCTTCTGGAGGTGTGGGACCTGATGGACCAACCAGAGGGCAGCAGGTCGAACATGTGGTGGGTGGGGTGCAAGGAGTCACCTGTGATTGCTTCCAGGTAAGCAGAGGGAAGCCAATGATTTTTTTGGGGCAGTTCTCAGTAGTGTGTACCAAACACCAAGGCAGCAGGAGAGCACGCTCTTCACTGAGGAGCGGTAGAAGGCCAGCGGCAGCTTCTAGGTTATCCTTTCTCAAGACACGGAGTAAGTGCAGCCAGTGCAGGTCCGGGGGGACAAAGATATTGGTTGGGTGGCTTGGGGTACAGTCATAGATGTATAGGGCACACAGTAGGGGCTGAGAGCGTAGTCCTGTGAGGAAATCTTTGATCAAGGAGCAGGTGGCAGGGGGGTGTGGAGGTGGTCTAATTTGGATTCAGGATGTCTGGGATTATAGTGCTGAATTCTGAGCTGTAGTCCATGAAGAGCATCCTTATATAGCTCTTCCTGTTTTCAAGATGGGTCAGCGCTCTACAGATGGGTCAAGGGATGAGGGTAGACAGTCCCTGATGTGCAGCGACACTATCTGCTCGAAGCACTTCATGACTACAGACGTTAGGGCTATCGGTCTGTAGTCGTTGAGCCTGTGTAGACCAGACATTTTGGGGATGAGAACAGTAGTGGAGGCCTTCAGAGAGTGGTGTGAGTCAGGGAGAGGTTGAAGAGCCTGGTGAGGATCCCCCCAGTTGGTCAGCACATTTGTAGTTGGTGAGGGCTTGGATGCCTCTCCACACCTGGTGCAGGTTGTTATCAGTTAGGAAGCCCTCTGTCCTCCTCCTGTAAACCTCCTTGGCCTGTTTGATGCCCCTCCTCATGTTGACTGTAGCAGTGCTGTACAGGTAACTGTCTCCTCAGCCTGAATTACAAGTTCAACACAATGGACTCGAGTGAAGTGGATGCAGGAGGGTGACGAGATAGCCTAAAACATAGTTAAAAATGAGACAAGGAAGCAAAACTAAATGCAAAACAGAGGAGACATCTAGCTGTGCAAAATAAAATGGGCAGTAAACTTGTGGAACAGAGAAAAGACACTGGAAAAGCTAGACTAACCAAAACAGAAAGGATTACTTAATCAATATAAACACTCCATGTAAATATTTATTTAAAAATATTAATTAAAAACACTCAATACAAATGCAGTTAAATCAGCACAACATTTATTTTCAAATACAAAGAAATACAAAAAAATACATATCAGCTGGGCACTTTTCTGCTGACTAATAAACAAGCATATTTCCATTACTTTAGCTTGTTATTTAAACATTTTTTAACTATGATAAGATTTAAATTTTATATATTTGGTTTATTTGAAACTTTAATCTTCATCTTCACTGACCACAGTAAGCACACCATCTTTGATGGAGGGTTCATGTCTCCTGGCATTAAAGGTTGGAGAAGGTTGGGGGAGGGGCATTTATAGATTGGTGTTGATAGATTTTAAATTTGTAAAATGTTAAATGCAATTACCCATGACCATGCCGGATAGCTAGTTAGCTAGCACATTTACTATTAGCTAAAGTGGTTTTTGCTGCTGCTACTGAAGCGCAGAACACATGAATTTGGGACTTCTGAGGGTGCAGTTGAGCGCTTGCATTCACTGATCTGAGAGGTTGTAACCACAGAGTTATAGCTGTAAGCAGTTAAAAAATTAAATAAATAAATGAGTAAAAACTGAATTGCAAACATTAATCTACACATTTATGTATATTTTCTCTGTAACTATACATTTAAAGCGCAAGTGAAAATACAAGTTTAAATTTTTTTTTACACATTATCTCTTTTTTTGACAGCTCTCGCATTTTGCAACGTATTTACTTCCATATATCGGCCCTAAAGGAAAAGTTGATAGTTGGGACGTATATTTTTGACCACTAGATGTCTGATGTCAGAATTATGTCGTTTTTCTGCGGCAGCGAATGAGAAGAAGAAAATACGGAAGTACGGCTCCCAAACACATTCCCGTTGGAAGAGTAAAATACTGCAGATTGCCGTATTTGCTTTGAAACGAAGCATATCTTGGACTAAATATTCAATCTCAATAAGACGATGGGGACTAGAGACGATGAATACGATTATTTATTCAAAGGTAAAAATGTGAATTTCTCGTTAGTGTCGTAGCTTTTAGCCGATAAGCTAAACAGGCCAGCTGGTCAGCTGTCAGGCTAACTAAGCCAGCGTCAACCTTTGTGCTGTGGTTGATTTTCACCGAGCTTTCAGGAAATTGATTTGAGGGTGTATACCTCTAAACGGCCTTCACTTGAGGGTTGGCGTTATAGTGCTATTTTCTTTACGTACGGTGTATTGAAGTGATGGGGCGAAAAGAAAAGAACATTAGCTGTTAGCTACTGTTAGCTTGTTGATGGTAGGCGCGGACACGCCTAGCGTTAACCGTTATCACGTTATCTTAGGTCGAGCTTGACAAGCTACAGGAACTTGTGTGAGGATTGGAAAGAATGCGTTAAGAGCTGCTTCATGAACACGTGACCACAATTTTAAAAGTGACCCAAATCATTCTTTTCGCCATTATGTTATTTTTAAAGTATTTTTATTACTGTGAATGTGTAAAATTTGCTTAAAAAGTCAGGAAGATTACTATTACTATTTTTGTGTCATAACAATGCTTCTTGGTAATAAGTCGTGTACTGTTGGAATGCCTTTCTATTACTCCTTAAATGGTATCGCATGTTTGGGTTGCACCCATGAAGAACTATGCCAATGTCAAACAACTATCAACTCTTGTTTTGAGCTTCTGGTACGCCAGGTATGGACAATCTGATGTCTGATTAGCAGGGCATGAACCTGATCAGTCAACATGTTTGACTGATCTGGATGAGATCCATGTCATAGGGCAACTTCAAGTTTCAGCATTATTTTTGAGTGAGTCCTAGTGCCATCTCCACATTGAAGGCCAGGTCCCATATGAGGGTGGATATCAGAGACAGGCTGTGCAGTCGGTGTCCCAACAAGACAACATCACAAACACACTGTCAGTGTGGTACTCAGTCTTCTACAGATTTGCAATCAAAGTTTGGAGGACAATATTTCTTATGGTTTTGTAACCAGACAACCTGGAACAGACTGCCATGACTGCCCTTCACTGTTAGTTTCATTTAGTGTTGATAATGGGTGCAGTTGAACCCTGAATGTGTATAGGAATGTTACGTTCAGCAATGAGTCCAGATTGTGCTTACTGCAGTTGGCTCATAGTGTCAAGTGTCAGAGTATGGAGAGGATGTGGAGAACCCTGTGCTGATTTATGCACCGATACGGTGAAAGCTTTTGGTGGAGGCAGTGTGATGGTGAAGAGCAGCATCTTCCTCAGTGAAAAAACAAAGCTTCTCATCACTGGTAATCTCAGTGGAGCTAGATATCAAGATGAGTTTCTGTAACCAGTGGCAATCCATATCTCCACAGTCTGGGAACAATCTCTGTCCTCCAAGACGCTTAACCCACACAGAGTGGAGTTTATCAGAGACTAAATCCAGAATATAGGTGTGGAGAGCATGGAATGACCTGCCAGCAGTCCTGATGTCAACACAGCTGAATGCTTGTGGCATCAGGATGGAGGGTGCTAGTCCTGCCAGAGTAACCAACACAACCACACTGGCTGCCTTGTAATAAATATGGGTTGAAGAATAGGATGCAATCCCACAGCAGTGTGTGACCAAGCATGAGGAGAAGATGAGGCTGTCGTGGCTGTTTGGTTCTTCCACATGCTACTGAAGTCTCTGTTAAATGAATAAATTGTGAAATTGCTGGTGTGTCTTGTTTCTTCACATTTTCAATCCAATAACTGAATAACGAGTCAGCAGCAGAATATGTCTGACGTTGGCATTGGAAGTTTTGGCAAGTTGTTATTGGTGTAACCCACATACTCACCTTTGTTACTTAACCCACAACTCTGTCTTCCTTTCACCATCAGGCAGCATTTAAGGGGAAATAAACAGGTTCTTTAATGGTTTAAGATTTATTGCCAGGCAACATTCTTCCATTAAAGAAATAATGAACCGAACACTAATTTCA